GTGGATAAAACGTCTTTTATATGGAGAGAAAAGTTTGGGATGGAAATTGTTTTTTGATCATTGCTTACAGTTTGTGGGTGGTAGATTAATTTTTTTATGTGATTATGATTTAAACAAGATTAAACTCGTTTTAGATATTCCACCATACTATATGGAAATGTTGCAAGCATGGCAAGAGACAAGTAATTTAAGATATTTGGAGGGTTATATTAATCCAATTATTTTTAATAATCAGAATATATGTATAAATGGAAAAAGTATATTTGATAGATACTTGTTTGAAAGAGGGATTGTTCAACTGAATCATTTGGTTGAGAAAGGTCATGTTAAGCCTGTTAAATATTTTATGAACCTCGGTATGAAAGGTAATAATTTGCTTATGATTATTGATATTTATGATGCGATACCCAGGTTATGGAAGGATGATTCAGGGTTAATAGAATTCCTCGAGGTTGATTTGATAAGCTTTAATACTTATTTCCATATTTCTAGTAAAAACATACAGTTTGTGGATGTGGGTTCAAGAACAATCTATGATTATTTCATCAAAGCACTGCAACGAACGTATGATTTGCAGGTAAGGGATGGACAAAATGATTATGATTTTATAGATAAAGAAATAAAAGAAATATTTGTTAGACCAAGAATTACTATACTCATTAGAAAACAACGTGAATTTCAATTTAAATTATTGCATGGAGCCATATACACTAATGAGCATCTTCATAGATTTGGTTTTGTTGGTGATAATTTATGTTCGTTTTGTAAGCAGGAAATAGAAACATACAAACATTTATTTTTATCTTGTGGGAGCGTTCAAAGGTTATGGCAGGCTTTAATACAACTTTTTGAGTTAGATGAAATTAAAGATTTAGAATGGCGAGATATATTTGTTGGGTTGGTAGGTAGTTCATATAGAATAAAAATGTGTAATACTATCATTTTCATGGTGAAGTATGTTACATTTATGTCAAGATCGGGGGGGGGGGGGCGAGTACTAACTTTAGAAAAGATGAAAAAAAGCATTTTTAAGTATAGGGATGAGGAAAAGAAAATAGCAATTAAAATGGGAAAGCTAGGATCACATTTTTTAAAGTGGGAGCAGCTTAAGATTAATTAAGATTTGCTTTCTTCTCCACCGTGAGCTTGTTAAAAGCGTAACTCGATTTTGCGGCCTGGATAACTTATTTAGTATATTTTTCTTAAGTTGAGAATGTTGGCAGACATCCACTGAGTGAGTACTGTGTGTGTGTGGGGGGGGGGGGGGTGGGTGGGTGGGTGGGTGAGTATGTGTGTGAGTGGGTGAGTATGTTTGTGTGATAGAGGGTGAGTATGTCCGTGTGATGGAGGGGGCAGGGAGGGGGCAGGATTGTTTCAGTAAAATTATCTCCAGATTTGTTTTTTTTGTGTAATATATAAGTAAATAACATTTACAATTGACATATTATGTTTAGGTACTTATACGTTTACTTTGTTGCTAAGTTATATGATACTGCAAATAAGTTTGTGTTTAATTATGTTTATGTAAAAGCATCAATATTGAACATGTTTATTTTATTCAATTGTATGTCATGGTTTGTATTACACATCTGGAGAAATAAAACAAAATTGTTATAAAAAAAAAAAAAAAGTGTGTTAGTGTGTGCGTCAATTAAAAAGACTAACAGTCCTCACTTAAGGTCTGGTTGTCGTTCGCTAGGTGTGCGTCACCATCGGGATTTTTTGAGCATGCTCAAAAGTGTGCGCTGAGCTCGACGCATGAATGTACACGCTAAAGGCACGCCAGACATGCTCGAGGCGCGCTAGACCAACGCCAGACATACGTGGAGCTTCTCCCAAATCCTGACAAAAGTCAAAATCACGACTTTTTCCGATTTTAAATGCGCCGGCCGTGCGCCCCCATGCGTTCCCTCTGTGTGACCGGGCCTTTAAACGAGAAATACGTAACCTGCTTCAAAGCTGTCGTCACTTCAACCTGTCTTTTCTTACAGTGGCATAGTCTCATGGCAACATGTAAGGGCGTCTGGCCATCGTGTGACTGAAGATTTAAACCAGCACCCAGTGATACCAACTTTTCAATCATTGATGTTAGCCCGCTTACAGTAGCAAGGTGAATTGGTGTTAGACCAGCACTGTCTATATGATGTAGAGATGATGCATCCTTTGAAACAAAAATAAAAACAATAACAGGGATAGTTGAGTTCTTTTTACAGACCGCAAAGGCCTTCAAAGTGCATGGTTATTGCTCTAATTGTTATGTATGACATTAGTAGTGCCCTCTTCGGGCCTAAAATCGCTATGAAGGTAATTTTAGCCGAAAAAAGTGTGAAATTTAGCCCATGCGCTACCAATTCTACTTTAAAAAAAATAAGATGACCGTTAATTAATTAATTAATTAATTAATAATAACAATACATGGGCCGGTTGGGTGTACGTATTATAACCATAACGAACAAGCCAACTCAAAGCAAACATTGACATCGGCTGGATTAAAGCGTATAAGGCGCTATTTCGTTTTTTCAACGGCTGGTTTAAAAGTAAAGACCAGTATTGGAAACGCCCCAATTTCAAAAATTGAAATGGAAGCTCTTATTACCAATCATGTGAAAGAATATCGTTTGAATAATACATGATGTTATCAAATTTGCCCGGGAAACCGCCTTCTAATTGATATATTTGGTAAATTAGTTTATCTACTGGTGTGAGAGAGATAAAAACTCACGTGTGCGTAGTCCCATATACATCTTTCTGTGTACAGTGCTTGTTACTTTATGAAGACTGGGCCAAATTTCTTATCATATTGATGATTCCAGAACCTTGCAGTACATCTATGCTAGATGATCAACCCTTTCTGATCGATTTCACAACGTTTCTTTCACAATGCAATCGCATGACCATAACTGGTCTTTATCTTTAAATTATCTAACATTTGTGACAGTACACAAATATTAGAAATGGTTAAATTTATGGAGTTTTCAGCCGTCTCTGAACCGATTTTGATCAAACAAAGATGTTTTGTCATTTTAATTGTATGTTCTTTCAAGTTTGACACTCAGTTTTTTTATTATCTCACAAAAAATATGTTGTGCAGCGCCCTCTGCAACAAAACTTAACTACCCTTTTAATCAAATGAAAAATGAAGGATTTCAAATATTGTTACGTAATGGTAATGTACCCTTTATGAATATTTATTTGGTCCGTATATGAATAAATATACTGTTGGTCATAATGGTGGAATAATTATTTTTACCCCAGTTTAGGGAAGGATTTTTAAAAATTATTTATTTCTAATAGATCTAGATAATGGCATACCTTCTCAGATTTTATTGAATATTAATTTGCGAGTGTTTGTTTTGCGTGACTGCTTAATCATATGTGTGCTACTATGCTAATCAGCTAGGGAACCTACGTCCTTAAATCATAATTGACAGTAATGAGGATTAATGCCTCACAAAAGGGCACTAATATAGCTGAACGACACGATCTTTATCCTGGGGCCTCACACTAACGAGGCCATTGCTTAGCCACTGAATCATGACTGTACGCAGTGTTTGCTAGGGTACGCGGCCGCCCCCACAAATCCCCCAAAACAAAGAAAATGCAATAAATTGTCAAAAATTCATTGCATTGTCCCCCGGCCCCCAACAGGAAAAATTCCTCTGTGTGGCCATGCATTATGGTTCAAGGCATGGCCACACAGAGGTATTTTTCCTGTTGGGGCTGGGGGAAAATGCAATGAATTTTTGACAAGATAGTTCTTGAGGATTAATATCAGCAGTTATATTAGTAGAACTGTATAGGGGAGAATTGTTATTAATAAAGTGTAAAAAGTAGAGGTAGTAGAGGGCGTATATTATGGGTGGTGGTGGTACTAATGATAATGCATCAGCTACGACGGAAGTTATACTAATAAACATAATAAGCTGAATGACTTGCATCTGCAAGTACCTCATCAAGAAGAATCCGTGCAGTATCAGCATTGCCAGAGTTTAGTGCAATACTTATGGGTGACTGGCCTCTTCTAGAAAGTTTCGTGCTCATAATTGCTTTCCGGTCTCGTAAATCCCTCATTATTGATTCATTTCCACTATATTAAAACAAGAAAACATATTGTATATACAGTGCGTACCAGAAAAAGCGAAACCGAGAATTATCGATGTTTTATCATAACTTAATTACAATTATAATTAATAAATGACACTTATTTGTAAAGCTTAGATCTTCCTCTTTTAGTTGATGCAACTCATATAATGCATATTTCACGCATGAGTGATTAAACGCAATTTGGAGAGAGGGTACCAAAAAGTCATTTTTTTTTGGGCGGTATCTGAATTTTAAAGAACAAATCACATTTCCAGAAAATTCTTTTTCTGCCCTTTCATATGACACCTCAATCAGGAAGAATCGGCCAGGAATATAAAAAAAATCTGTTTGTTTAAAGTAATGCTTGCATTTCCATATTTTGATTAAACGAATTCGTTTTCACTTGCTGCCCGCCGTAGCATCAAAAACAGAGTTGACAAAAGACTTAAGGCCCGGTCACACAAAGGGGACGCATGGGGGACGCACGGCCAGCGCATTGGAAATTTGCAATTTTGGCCAGTGCGTTGTCGTTCGCTAGGTGTGCGTCATCATTCGTTACTCGTTCGTTGAGCGCTTGGCCAACGCTATGTATTCGTCGTCATTCACTGTGTGAGTCGGGATTTTTTTGAGCATGCTCAAAAGTGTGCGCGGAGTTCGGCGCATGAATTTACACGCCAAAGGGACGCCAGACAGGCGCGGAGCGCGCGAGACAAAACGCCAGACACACGTGAAGCACACGCCCTGTATACGCGCAGTCCACTAGCAACACGCTATGCATTCGGTGTCAGCTCGCTAGCTTCTCCCAAATCCTGACAGAAGTCGGAATCACGACTTCTTCCGATTCTCAATGCGCCGGCCGTGCGCCCTCCATGCGTCCCCTCTGTGTGACCGGGCTTTTATCTCCGTTTCTTTTACCATCAGCAATGCACAAAGAAGTCGAAAGACTTGATGCATGGCTGATCGTCAACGAAACTTAGCTTGATTCTGAAATAAAAAATGAACTTATATTTGGTTTGAGAGTTAATACCTAATGGGCAAATTATTGTCACTTCATATTTTTCCCGGAATCAAACTACATAACTTTTTCAAAATAAAAGGTGATGTAATCGCAGCCGACCTTTGGGTTGTTTTTCATTCATTTTAAAATATACATGGCCTACGGAACCGCAAACGAAACTACCCTAAAAGTGGAATTAAACACAAAAATATGTTTAACACTATTTGAAGAAGAATAAGAACAGTTGTTTTACGGCGTAAATATTCATAATTGAATGATACACGCCTTTAAGACTAAAACAACAACAACAACAACACTTTTATAGAAATGATGACAAATTTTGTGGAATTTACAACTATACAATTGAATCATATTAATATTTTTGATACAGTCAAGGGGAAAATTAGTAGTTCAATTAGTATGCAAATACTGTATTAACAGTTTACCTTGCTGCAGCATAATGTAGGGCTGTCCAACCCTCTTCATCTTCTGTTTCAATATCTGCATTTTTTTCCAGCAGCAGATGTGCGCAGTCTAGATGTCCTCCTCGTGCGGCAACCATGAGCGGCGTGACACCTTTTAAGGTCTGTAAGGTAAAATATATAGGTACGCTGCCGATAGTTTTGAGTAGGCCTATCATAAGATATATGTAGTCCTGCTATACTCTAGTTTCAACGATGAAATAAAGTTTCCCCTACATAAGAGACAACCAGAGAGAATATGGACAGCTGACTAACTTGGATTATTATTGTGTTGATAGAAAAGCATCTTTTATTTACCACAAGTGTTGGAAATTTATATTTTCAACATTTAGATTTACACGTTATCATAAGTATTGATGATATGTTTTGTTACACATATCTTTAGCACTGCTAGATATCATCTATTATTTCGAGAACGTGACATTTGAGAAGCTTTGTGCTGAATAAGGTGATACCTCACTTGTGAGATCCTATTAGCCTGTCCGAATCCCAAATTAAATGATAAATACACAAAACTTAGAAAACGGTATAAAGTCCTCTCCAGTATCGGGGTTGGTGTTTCCTTTTTGTTCTCTTGCTTTCGTTCAGAACAACTGGACCTTGTTCAAAGGAATACATTGGTAGGTTAAAAATCAACTTAGAGTTCACCCCCTGGCTTTACACACATTGGACATTTTTCTGATGTGGATGCATGTTGAAAATGATATCACATATTAGCCACTGCATTTGCTTGCGTGCCATACAATTTGTTTACATATTAATATTTGAATGGCTTTTACCAAACGGTCGAGGAGCGGCGCGGATCGACGAACTGGCCAAAAATAGCCACCAATATGTGTATGGTGTCTTCAAATGTTTGTATCAATGCGAAAATTAAAAACGCGTCCCTCTCCAAATTATTTTCTCGATTTCAGGCAATCAGATACAATAAAAGCAAAGATTTAAATTATAACAATGAAATATTGAGGTCTCAAAATTGTGAAAAGTTGAAAAATCGTTTATTTAAACTACTCCCATCCAGATTTAGAAACTTATTAATTGTTCTCACGGATTCCATAATTTCAGATGAATTTAGAATCTATAATACCAATACCATGATTCCCAACATGATTTTCTTCTTATTCTTCTTTCTACTCTTACAATCTTTTAACATCAAATTCACAGTCTTTCCCGGTCAGCTACCACTGGACAATTATCCTCTGGAAATTACCTCCAAGAACAATTGCACCCAGGACAAATTCACCAAGGGCAATCATTCTGGGACAATTAACTTCCAGTTACGTCCTAGGGTTAGTTGCCAACAGCTACATTTTATTTTAAGTAACATACCTATTTGAACATATTGAGTCCATAAGAACAATAATTTATGGACTCATTAGTTACTTTCTAAAATTGTGTGGAAGAGGTTTGATTAAGGAATTTTAAACCGTTTCTCAACTTTTAGACTTCATTCTTTCATTAAAAGGCTCTAAATACTTACTCGAGTACCTGAAAGCATGAAATCTGGTAATTCATCCCGAGAGGCCCTTTTTGTGCAATGTTTCCCTCTGAGACAACACGTGAAGACACCAAACAATAAATTTGGTGGTTAAATTTCCGCCAGCGCCCCTGGCTGCGCGACTCGACTGTTAAGTAAAAGCAGTTTTCATTTATAACAATACCTGAAATCCCACTTCAAGAGTGTTGTGACTTTTTCCCGATGTATCGCTAGTGTTGTTTCTCAAGAAATATTCCAAAGATATCAAATGACCATTATCTGCTGCGAAATGAAAAACTGTCCAACCAAAATTATTACGTGTCTCGATATCTGCTCCTTTTGTAATAAGATACTTTATAATGTCAAGATAACCCCCACGAGAGGCAGCCTCAAGCGGTAGATCACCATCAGTTGCTGGTTTCTTGACATCAGCTCCTGCATTTACTAGACTTTCAACAACATCAAAATGGCCTTTCTGTGTAGCAACATGTAGAGGTGAATATCCGTCGTTAGCAACAGTATTTGGATTCGCTCCCTGAGAAATTAGATAGTTTACAATGTCTACTGCACCATTAGATGATGCCGCAAAAAGAGGTGTCTTTCCATTCTTTGCTGCTTTATTCACATCAGCTCCTGCATTCAATAGACATTCAACAACATTAAGATGACCCATTTTGGAGGCAATGCTAAGGGTTGTGTACACATCTTGATGCAACGAATTCAGGTTTGCACCTTTAGAAATAAGATATTTCACTATGTCTACATGACCTTGAAATGACGCCGTAAAGAGAGATGTAAGGCCATTCTTTGTTGTTTTGTTTACATCTCCTCCTGCATTTACTAGACATTCAACAACATCAAGATGACCTTCTTGAGAGGCAATGTAAAGGGGTGTTTCACCATCATAATCAACCAAATTCAGGTCGGCCCCTTCAGAAATGAGACATTTTACAACGTCTACTGCACCTTCAGATGATGCTGCATACAGAGGTGTCCTGCCATCCTCTGATACTATGTTTACATCCCCTCCTGCATTTAACAGACATTCAACAACATCAAGATGACCCTTAAATGAGGCAATGTACAGGGGTGTTTCACCATCATAATCAACCAAATTCAGGTCGGCCCCTTCAGAAATGAGACATTTTACAACGTCTACTGCACCTTCAGATGATGCTGCATACAGAGGTGTCCTGCCATCCTCTGATTCTATGTTTATAAACCCTCCTTCACTCGCTAGACATTCAACAACATCAAGATGACCCTTTTGACAGGCAATGTACAGGGGTGTTTTACACTCATTATCATACAAATTCAGGTCGGCCCCTTCAGAAATGAGACATTTTACAACGTCTACTGCACCTTTAGATGATGCTGCATACAGAGGTGTCATACCAGTTTTTGCTGCTTTGTCTACATCAGCTCCTGCATTTATTAGACATTCAACAACATTAAGATGACCCTTGCGTGAGGCAATGTACAAGGGTGTTTCACCATCTTGATACAACCATTTCAAGTTTGCACATTCATAAAGGCGATACATCAACATGGATCCAAGACTATTTTTTGACGCCGCTTTATGAATTGTCATACTATTTTTTGCTGTTTTGTCTACATCAGCTCCTGCATTCGCTAGACATTCAACAACATCAAGATGACCTTCTTGAGAGGCAATGTACAGGGGTGTTCCATCATCATAATCAACCAAATTCAGGTCGGCCCCTTTAGAAATGAGACATTTTACAACGTCTACTTCACCTTTATTTGACGCCGCGTAAAGAGGTGTCATACCATTTTTTGCTGCTTTGTTTATATCAGCTCCTGCATTCAATAGACATTCAACAACATTAAGATGACCCTTGCGTGAGGCAATGTACAGGGGCGTTTCACCATCGTTACCAACCGAATTCGGGTTGGCCCCTTTAGAAATGAGACATTTTACAACGTCTACTTCACCTTTACTTGACGCCGCGTAAAGAGGTGTCATACCATTCTTTGCTGCTTTGTTTACACCAGCTCCTGCATTCACTAGACATTCAACAACATCAAGATGACCCTTGCATGAGGCAATGTAAAGGGGTGTTTCACCATCGTTATCAACCAAATCCAGGTTGGCCCCTTTAGAAATGAGACTTTTTACAACGTCTACTTCACCTTTACTTGACGCCGCGTAAAGAGGTGTCGTGCCATTCTTTGCTGCATAATTCACATCAGCTCCTGCATTCATTAGACATTCAACAACATTAAGATGACCCGCTTGAGAGGCGACGCTCAGGGTTGTGTACACATCTAAATACGACGAATTCGGGTTTGCACCTTTAGAAATGAGATATTTCACAATGTCTACATGACCTTTAAGTGACGCCGTATAGAGAGTTGTAAGGCCATTCTTTGTTGCTTTGTTTACATCTGCTCCTGCATTGACTAGACATTCAACTACATCAAGATGACCCTGAAATGAAGCAATACTCAGGGGTGTATAACCAACGTCATCAACCGAATTCGGACTGCCCCCTTTAGAAATGAGACATTTTACAACGTGTACTGCACCTTTATTTGACGCTGCGTAAAGAGGTGTCATACCATTTTTTGCTGCTTTGTTTACATCAGCTCCTGCATTCACTAGACATTCAACAACATCAAGATGACCCTCTTGAGAGGCCACAATCAGGGGTGTGTCACCTTCGTTATCAACCGAATTTAGGTTGGCCACTTTAGAAATGAGACATTTTACAACGTCTACTGCACCTTCAGATGATGCTGCATAAAGAGGTGTCATGCCATCCTCTGCTGCTATGTTTACATCCCCTCCTGCATTCGCTAGACATTCAACAACATCAAGATGACCCTTGCGTGAGGCAATGTACAGGGGTGTTTCACCATAGTTATCAACCGAATTCAGGTTGGCCCCTTTAGAAATGAGACATTTTACAACGTCTACTGAACCTTCAGATGATGCTGCATGAAGAGGTGTCCTGTCATCCTCTGCTTCTATGTTTACATCCCCTCCTGCATTCGCTAGACATTCAACAACATCAAGATGACACTCTTGAGAGGCAATGTACAGGGGTGTTTCACCGTCATTATCAACCAAATTCAGGTAGGCCCCTTTAGAAATGAGACATTTTACAACGTCTACTGCACCTTCAGATGATGCGGCATAAAGAGGTGTCGTGCCATCCTCTGCTGCTATGTTTACATCCGCTCCTGCATTCGCTAGACATTCAACAACATCAAGATGTCCGTTCAGTGATGCGTGATATAGGGATGTAAAACCATCCCCGTAACCAGCATTAACGTCCACTCCTTTACATATGATATATTTAACAGCATCGATATAGCCATTGAGAGATGCGTTTAGGAGGGTGATATGGCCAGTATCTGTACGTCCTAGATCTGCTTCCTTAGCCATGAGCAATTGTGCTATATCATGTTGATTATAACGTAATGCTATAGCTAGTGGTGTATAACCATCGTGCGATACTTTGTTTACATCCCCTCCTGCATTCGCTAAATATTCAACAACATCAAGATGACCTTCTTGAGAGGCAATGTACAGGGATGTACAACCAACGTTATCAACCGAATTCAGGTTGGCCCCTTTAGAAATGAGACATTTTACAATATTTACCGCACCTTTATATGATGCTGCATAAAGAGGTGTCCTACCTTTCTCTGCTGCTATGTTTACATCTCCTCCTGCATTCGCTAGACATTCAACAACATCAAGATGACCCTCTTGAGAGGCAATGAGGAGGGGTGTTTCACCTTTGTTATCAACCGAATCCAGGTTGGCCCCTTTAGAAATGAGACATTTTACAACGTCTGCTGCACCTTCAGATGATGCTGCATAAAGAGGTGTCATACCATCCTCTGCTGCTATGTTTACATCCCCTCCTGCATTCGCTAAATATTCAACAACATCAAGATGACCCTCTTGAGAGGCAATGTACAGGGATGTACAACCAACTTTATCAACCGCATTCAGGTTGGCCCCTTTAGAAATGAGACAATTTACGCTGTTTATTGCACCTTTAGATGATGCTGCATAAAGAGGTGTCATACCATCCTCTGCTGCTATGTTTACATCCCCTCCTGCATTCGCTAAACATTCCACAACATCAAGATGACCCTCTTGAGAGGCAATGTACAGGGATGTACAACCAACGTTATTAACCGAATTCAGGTTGGCCCCTTTAGAAATGAGACATTTTACAACGTCTACTGCACCTTCAGATGATGCTGCATAAAGAGGTGTCCTGCCGTCCTCTGCTGATGTTGTTTTGACATAAGCTCCTGCATTCACTAGACATTCAACAACATCAAGATGTCCGTTTAGTGATGCGTGATATAGGGATGTAAAACCATCTCCGTCACCAGTATTAACGTCCACTCCTTTACGTATGATATATTTAACAGCATCGATATAGCCATTTGTAGATGCGTTTAGGAGGGTAATATGGCCAGTATCAGTAAGTCCTAGATCTGCTTCCTTAGCCATGAGCAATTGTGCTATATCATGTTGATTATAACGTAATGCTATAGCTAGTGGTGCATAACCATCGTGCGATACTTTGTTTACATCCCCTCCTGCATTCGCTAAATATTCAACAACATCAAGATGACCCTCTTGAGAGGCAATGTACAGGGATGTACAACCAACGTTATCAACCGAATTCAGGTTGGCCCCTTTAGAAATGAGACATTTTACAACGTCTACTTCACCTTCAGATGATGCCGCATGAAGAGGTGTCATGCCAGTCTGAGTTGCTTTCTTGACGTCAGCTCCTGCATTCACTAGACATTCAACAACATCAAGATGACCCTCTTTGGATGCAATGCACAGGGGTGTATATCCATTGTTATTAACCGAATTCAAGTTCGCCCCTTTAGAAAGGAGAATTTTTATAATGTCTACATCACCATTAAATGATGCCGCATGAAGAGGTGTTGCACCGTTCTTTGCTGTTTTCTTCACATCCGCTCCTGCATTCACTAGACATTCAACAACATGAACATGACCCTCTTCGGAGGCAATGAACAGGGGTGTATAACCATCGTTATAAACAGAATTTGGGTTCGCCTTTTTAGAAATGAGAAATTTTACAATGTCTACGTCACCATTAAATGATGCCGCATGAAGAGGTGTCCAGCCTTTCTTCTTCGCTTTATTCACATCAGCTCCTGCATTTACTAGACATTCAACAACATCAAGATGACTCTCTTGTGAGGCAATGCACATGGTTGTATAACCATCGTTATTAAGCGAATTCGGGTATGCTCCTTGGGAAATTAGATATTTTACAATGTCTACACGACCTCTCTCTGACGCTTGATCTAGAGATGTCGAGCCATTCTTTGCTGCTTTATTCACATCAGCTCCTGCATTCACTAGACAGTCAACCACATCGAGATGGCCCTCCTGTGAAGCAGCAAAAAGAGGTGTAGTGTCATCGTTATTAACAGAATTCGGGTTCGCCCCTTGTGAAATTAGATATTTTACTATGTCTACACAACCATTAAATGCCGCAGTATCAAGAGATGTCGCGCCATTCTTTGCTGTTTGCTTTACATCAGCTCCTGCATTCACTAGATATTCAATAACATGAAGGTGACCCTCTTTTGATGCAGCGTGAAGTGGTGTGTATTTTTTTTTGTCATTCATGTCGATTTCTGCACCTTTAGATAAGAGGTATTTTACTACATCGAGATGACCACAGAAAGCCGCAGTATTAAGAGAAGTTTTACCTTCATATCCCTTCAATGTCATATCTGCTCCCTGAGTTAAGAGATATTTCACAACATCGAGACGACCCTTTCTTGCTGAAGTATAAAGGGGTGTAGAACCATCATATGAACCTTTGTTTATATCTGCTCCGGAATTCACTAAACATTCCAGAACACCAAAATGGCCCTCCTCCGAAGCAAAATAGAGAGGTGTATAGCCATTGCTATTACCAATATTGGTATCTGCTCCTTCCCCGATGAGATATTGAGCAACATTCTGACGACCACTTCGAGACGCATAGTGAAGAGGGGCGTCGCCGCTTCTACTTTGCTTTTCTATATCCGCCCCCAAATTAGTCATATATTTCACGAGGTCAATATGTCCTTCTTCTGAAGCGATATGGAGGGGTGTCTTTCCATCGGGATCCACACTGCATAGCATCACTAGCTTGGTATCACCTGTCTCGTCTTCTAGAATAGACCTTGTCTTTACAAGATCGCCTTCCTTCACTGCTGTAGAAAGTGCCATGTTCATTCTATCTTCTCTATCGGTATGTGTATTCTCTCTCGCAATCTGTTTAATAAAAAAGAAGGAAAACAACTATGCAGAAACATTGATAAATGAACAAGGACAGGGGAGGGGGGGGGGGGGGGGTCACAAAGATCCTAAGTCGAACTTAACTCTAAGTTAGACTTAAACATTATGGAGCGCGACTAGTAGACTTAAAATAAAATATATTTAAAAGCGATAATTCAAGTATTTTAGACTTTGTATAAATTCCACGTCAAGAACATGACATCTCTTTTGTAATAGAAAATATGAACGATTTGAATCAAAATTTCATGCATTTTAAAATAACTTTTACAAATTATTTTCATAGATGCCAATGGCGTTCCATAATTGTTAAGTCCAACTTAGGATCTTTGTAAAACACTCCCCTAGATTTTAAAGAGATGATTGGTACATTGTAGTAACAAGATCAAAGAATAAGAATGAATACAGACGTAAGAAAGATTTTAGTCTTGCGCTTCGTCCTATTGCAAATTAACGTAATCAAGATATTTTGAAACCGCTGAAGACTATGCACTTGCTATATACAGTACATGTTCGCTGTAGATGTACATGTATATTGTTTCCTCTCAAAATGCGCATCCTGTAAAAAGACATCAAATCATTATGGATAACACAAAATGACTCATCCATCACATAATCTGATGTTTTCTTTTCTGTGTGTGGCATGATAACATATATAATTTGTTTAATCAAGAATAGCTGTTTTGAAGTATCAAGTATCAAGTATCAAGTTTATTTGTCTTCCAGAAAACATGTGACAAAATATAATCATTACAGTACAAGTATAATCATAAGAGTACAATGTAGAATTGAGAGATTAATGTTGTGTAAAAGAAACTTTGAAATACAATTAGTTTTTATAACCCCATATTCTGAATAAATCACACTCATATGTTGGATGCAGCATTATTTCATATAAAAAGGGAATGTTGCCCTTTTCTACACTTTGATAGCCTACAGTATCTGTTTCTAATAGAAATCGGCATCGCTTTCCTCATTATCTTGGTGTTTTGTCTCTTATTCCTCTATCTTCATGTTTAGGATGGTGTCGTGGATGCTAAGGAAGTAGAAGCTCCATAATTATGGATATAGTGCAGGCCATCATGGGTGTTTAAAGACTTAAGGAACAGAGAATTGAAAGTGGGTACTCTGAGAGTTTTCGTGTTGGAGTGGGTCTACATCTGGCATCAGTCTTGTATCCACTACTGTTGTCTACTGTGATTGATGTTTGATTAGAATCAGTAAAGAAAGATGTTTTGTTAAACATGTTGTTTGCAGGTGACTTCATGTTGGTGGCTAAACCAATGCACCAGCTGGAGAGGGATTTTACAAACTGGAATAATGCATTTTAGTGCAGGGGCCTCAAAATCAACACTTGGGTGACAAAGGTAATGGAAGCAAGTGTTGAGGCAAATCAGTGGAAGAAAACAAATAGATCTTTGTGGTGTCTGTGGCTAGGGAGTGATTAGTAACTTTATCAGATGCGTGGCATGTAGAGAGTGGGTTTATGCAAGATGAGCTGGAGTAATGAAAATTACCAACAAAATGGCTTAGTGCAAGAAAAGCAGAGAGATAAGTAACGGAGTAGTGGGGGACCAAGAAGGTATGTTGAGAAGATTGATACTACTTGTTATCTTGGGTATACAATCAACGTCGGTGGTGGATGTGAGATTCCATTGACAAGAAGATGTAGATTAGGTGGATGAAGTTTAACGAATTGACCTCGATCCTAGCTGGTATAAGGTTAACGATGAGAATACGAGGCAAGATATATAAGGCTTGTGTTAGAAAAGTGACGATATGTGGTTCAGAAGCCTTGGAAGTAAAGACAGTAGAATAGCCATCACACTGAAGATGTGTGGCGTGAAAGTGTCAACAGAAAGAACACAAGTTCATGGAAAGGTCGGGTCTGGAAGAAACTGTCTTGGAAATGGTACATAAAAGTGAATTGAGATGGATGGGTCATGTGTAGAGAAGGGAAGTTAATGAATCAGTAAAAAAAAAAAAAAAAGCATGGGATCTTGAAGTGGGCGGCAAAAGAGAGAAAGGGGGACCTCAACTTTCCTGGATAAATATGGTCAAGAAAAAAAGCAGTAAGGTTGGAGGTTGTCAAGTCAAGAGGAAGTATGGGAGTGTCATCATGGCGCGAAAGTCAGTGACCCGTTGTAGAAGGGAAAATGCTGACTTTTCTTTGAAAATTTTCGGAATTGGAACCTCTTTTTCATTTTCAGAAACATTAATCACTTTGCAAACCTTCTAAATGTCAAGCCTTTCGGAATTATAAAACTTTCGAGAAACCTATCCATACATGCATATGCTGCTAATCAAGTTTGATTCACTGTCTTCATTGCCAAAACTCGCAAGCCCCAATTCCCCTCAGCAGTAGTGTATGATCTGCATCAGGGCTTCAGTGAGGACAATGGTCCGCATCACAATTCCAGCCGAATTCTTGACTGTCCGACTCTGATTGCAATGATATCACCGGATGTGCCAAATCCAATAAAACTTACTTGAGTTGAGAAAGTCGGAAGGTAGGAAAGTTCTCAAATGTCCCCGTTTCTATGGTCACAACACCAAAAAGAAGCCTGCTCGGCGGCCGGGCGGCGAGTTTTGAGCCGATTTCGCTCAGGCACCGACCGGAGGCCGCCCGGGCAGCGTCATTTTTTTCTGCGGCACAGATTGGGGCTTTTTTTTTTTAAGGGTCTGGATTTAGCCCTAACCCTAAACTTTCCCATAGGCCCATAGGCTCAACACGCACCTAACCCCAATCTGTGCCGCAGAAAAAAAAATAAAGCGCCCGGGCACCGCTTGTTTTAGGATATCGCTCGGTCGCTGCTGAAGTTTTAGCGCGGAGTTAAAATTCGAGCGGCGCCTGCTCACTTTCACTCGCCGCCCAAAGTACACTCGGTGCCAGGGCGGTCACCGTCCGGGCACCGATATAATCCAGCGTTCGCAGCCGAGCGATTTAGGTAAAAAAATCGAAGACGCTAGGCGAAAGGCTGCCGAGCAGTCGCCGCCTGGTCGCCGGGCGGTCATCGCGGGGAGATCAGTCGGCCACTGGGCGACGAGTCCAACATCGGTCGGCAGCCTTGGACCTAGCAGCTTCGATTTTTGACTTAAATCGCTCGACGGCGAGCGCTCGATTAGGTCCATATTGCTCCGGTTCTCTCATTTTCGCTCGCTGGAACATTGCCAGCACAAACCACTGACCTCTACTTCCTGGACGGATCATCACCCATTCACATTTACTATACGTACGTACTAATAGTCCGTGGGCCAGAGGGGGCTACCGTGCACCCCCCCCCCTATGATCCTACTTTTTGGGTGTAATTTTGTTCATTGGGATCCATAATATAAGAAAAAAGATGTTCCCAAGAAAAAAACTCGTATGGACACTGTTTTTTTGCTCCTTTTTTGAAGATAATTATGTCAAAATGTCAGTTTTTCGTGTGTTGCACACTTTCTTAGGGTATGTGAATTATGTGCTTACATTTTACCCTGTTTCTCAGTAGATATAACTCTAATCTCCACCAAATTTATAAGAAATCTTTGTAAACTATACAACAATAGGTAGACAAAATTATTTTGATTTATTTTATTTTCTTCAATTATTAATGACGTCATAAATTTGCATATATTTTGATATGCCAATTTCTGTCTCAAAACCTGTCAAAATCACCTGAAAGTTGTATTTTGTTTGCTATTATCATGAAATAAGTTTTCAACCCCCCTAATTTGGTGTAAAATTATTCATTGATATGTTATCTGATGTTTCCTGCAAAAAAAATTCAGCCAACTCATGTAGACATTGTTTTTCCCCCATTATTTTGTATGTAAACATATCAGTTTTCCGTGTATTGTACATTTTCTGAGGGTTTGTAAATTATGTGATTACACTTTACCCTGTTTCTCAGCAGATATAAGTCTAACCTCCATCAAATTAATACACAATCTTTGTAAATAATTCAACAACATGTAGACAAAATTATTTTAATTTATTTTATTGTCTTCAATTATAAATGATGTCATAAATTTTCATATATTAAATATGCAAATTTCTGTCTCAAAACCTGTCAAAATCACCTGAAAGTTGTATTTTGTTTGCTATTATCATGAAATAAGTTTTCAAACCCCCTAATTTGGTGTAAAATTATTCATTGATATGTTATCTGATGTTTCCTGCAAACAAAATTCAGCCAACTCATGTAGACATTGTTTTTCCCCCATTATTTTGTATGTAAACATATCAGTTTTTCGTGTATTGTACATTTTCTGAGGGTTTGTAAATTATGTGATTACACTTTACCCTGTTTCTCAGCAGATATAAGTCTAACCTCCATCAAATTAATACACAATCTTTGTAAATAATTCAACAACATGTAGACAAAATTATTTTAATTTATTTTATTGTCTTCAATTATAAATGATGTCATAAATTTTCATATATTAAATATGCAAATTTCTGTCTCAAAACCTGTCAAAATCACCTGAAAGTTGTATTTTGTTTGCTATTATCATGAAATAAGTTTTCAAACCCCCTAATTTGGTGTAAAATTATTCATTGATATGTTATCTGATGTTTCCTGCAGACAAAATTCAGCCAACTCATGTAGACATTGTTTTTCCCCCATTATTTTGTATGTAAACATATCAGTTTTCCGTGTATTGTACATTTTCTTAGGGTTTGTAAATTATGTGCTTACACTTTACCCTGTTTCTCAGCAGATATAAGTCTAACCTCCATCAAATTAATACACAATCTTTGTAAATCATTCAACAACATGTAGACAAAATTATTTTAATTTATTTTATTGTCTTCAATTATTAATGATGTCATAAATTTGCATATATTAAAGTGGCACGTTCCCGCCAGTGTAGTTATCGCTGCTCTAGTCATCGCCATCTTGGTTCCGAAGATCGACTTCTAATTTGCATACAGCTGTCAATCAAAGTGC